TCCAAGCAGCTTCTCTTTCTCATTTAGTGTTAATTTATGGAACCCTACTATCCCATCAAAACAACCCATCACTATATGATAAAATAAAAGAACCCAAAAGAGAAAAACGTTTATTAAATTACTACAAAACAAAAGACATTTACTAGCTCTTGTAGCCTTAACTCTAAAATGTAGAAATCATCAAAATTTACAATATTATTATTTCTATTATTTTCCGGAGGCAGGCTTCAACCAAAATTTACTACATTATTATTACTATTTTTAATAATTGCCTCTCTCTGATATAACTACATGTCTTGTCAACGTTTTAATAGTTAAATTAATATAATTAAATATTTAATTAATGATCTAACATTTTCATGTTTTCTCAATTAAGAATTCCAACTTTAATTTGAATGTAAAACTAAATGTTTTTGGATTGATTCAAATAAGAATTCAATTATGATAATATAAATCACACGCATTTAGATAATGTGGATAAAAAAAAGGAATAAATTGTTTTTTTTTTTTGCAATTATTTTCACCAATGGAATTTTAAAATTGATAATTGAGATAGTAAAAAAAAAAAAATCTTTTAAATGAATTTATAGCTGGGTTTTAAGTTTTTTTAATCTTAATCTTTGAACTCTTAAAAAATTAAATTGAAAAAAGCTAAAAAAAACTCCAAACATAATACTGCAATATCCCGAAAACAAATCCTTTAACCCTTGTCAAAATTGAAAACTCAAAAACGCCGTGTTTATGGTAATATGCCGGGCCTCAAAACATATTTTTTCTATACTTAAAATGAAACCTTAGTTTTATCAAACCATGAAAACCCAGTTTTTATTAAACAATGAAAACTCAATTTATCAAACCACAACCCAAAAAAAAAACACAAACCTAAATTACTCAAGCTAACTTTTTTTTTTTAAAAAAAGTCAAAATCTCAAAGAAACTAGATTTAAATCCAGAGACAAAAAAAAGGGGGGGGGGGGATAAACCCAATTCAGTTAGCTCACTTGCTGGACTTGAATCATTGCATTTACAGAACACTAGCTTGTATGGTGAACTACCTCAATTCCTAAAAAAATTGTACAAATTGGAACTTCTGGATGTGAGGGAGAATAAATTTACTGGAACCTTTCCACCACGAATTAACTTAATTAAATTTCAAATTCATAATTTTAATTTTTTTGAGTACTCTGCATGATTTTACATTATTGACAATGTATTTGACAAATGTCCTAATAAACCAAAAGGGAAAACGTAGATATTTATTTACTACTATTATTACTATTAGCAATATGTGTTAAGAATAATGATTCAAATCCCATAAGAGATTTATTTGGGATTGGTCAGATATTGCTTAATAGATAAAAAGACTCACAGAAGAAGAATTCTAAAAGGAAAGGGATTCTTAATTGACAAGTTTATATGATTATAAATAGGTGAAATCTCTATAGGGTTAGGTATGAGAAAAAGATGTAAAAGAGTTGTAGGATTTGTGGGATAGACACCCATAGAAATACTGACGATTTACGCCTTATGGTTATGTATGTTTGAATGTTTGGGAGTGGACTAGAGGAAATTGAAAGGGTCCTCATAGGTATGATGTATGAGTGTATATGTGTATGTGTTTGATTGTATTAAAAGGGTACACATGGATATGTGTTTGTTTGGGTTAAAAATATTCCATAGGACCAGAGGAAATTGAAAAGATTTATGGATATTAATTGTTGAGTAGTTAATATGTTTTGATGTATGTTTGTAATTCTCTACAACTAGTGAATCTGATTTCTCATCTGTGGACGTAAGTCAGTTAGATCGAACCATGTTAAATTATTATTTTTTATGTGAGTGATTGATTGTTTGATTTCGCTACCACTGGCTTGAATGGATTGGGGCTTTTTTACCCAATAAGTGGTATCAGAGCTATGGTAATCCTTAACAAGTGGTATCAAGCATGGTTCAAGACATGAGAAGAGGTAAGTCCAGATGAGCTTGATTCAAGAGAAGAGTTCGAGTTCAAGTTTTAAGGATTGAAGATTGGTTTGTGTGAAGTGTGAAGACACATAAGAAAAGATGATTGTGAAACTTTTATTGCAGGTGGAGCCAAGCATGTTTAGTATGAAGACAGATGATTTGATGGAATTTGAGTCAGGGTGGAGATTGTTGGGAATAATGACTCAAATCCATAAGAGATTTGTTTGGGATTTGTGAGATATTACTTGATGGACAAAAAGACTTATGATTTTTAGTTTACAGTCTTCGAATGATTAGGAGTTGGATTTTCATTGATTAGGAATTAGATTTTTAATATCACTAATTATTTTTTTTTAATTTTCTATTCGTGCATAATGATTATTTTAATATTCTTAATTTTAATATTGTTAATATTGTATTATTTATTATATTGTATGATTTATTCATTACTATATTTTGTAGTTATTACTATATTTTGTAGTTATTACTATAATTCATTATTTATTTCTTATTATTAGTATTTATATATTTAGTATTAATATATATATTTAGTATTCATATATATAATTATATATAAATTATTAAATTATTCATTTTTAAAATATTATTATTTATATAAAATATTATTATTTATAAAATTAATAAATATTATTATTATTTATATTTAATAAAAATAAATAAGATATTTAATAAATAAGTATAATAATTTATATTTAATTTAAGTATTTAATTTAAGAATTTATATTTAATTTAAGTATTTAATTTAAGTATAATAATAATAATTTAAGAAGAATTCTAAAAGGAAAGAGATTCTTAATAGACAAATTTGACTTGCACAAGAAAAATTTTAAAAGGAAAGAGATTCTTAATTTGCAAGCTTATATGGTTATAAATATGTGAAGTTTCTATAAGGTTAGGTATGAGAAAAAGATGTAAAACAGTTGTAAGATTTTGTGGAATAGACCACCCATAGAAGTACTGGGGATTTACGTCTTATGGATGTGTATGTTTGAATGTTTGGGAGTGGATTAAAGGAGATTGAGAGGGTCCACATAGGTATGATGTATGAGTGCATATGGGTATGTGTTTGGTTGTGTTGAAAGAGTGCATATGGGTATGTGTTTGTTTGGGTTAAGAATACTCCATAGGACTAGAGTAGATTGAAAGGGTCAATGGATATTAATTGTTGAGTGGTTGATATGTTTTGATGTATGTTTGTAATTCTCTACAACTAGTGGATCTTATTTCTAATCCGTGGACCGAACCACATTAAATTGTTGTTTTTTATGTGAGTGATTGATTGTTTAATTTCACTTCCGCTAGCTTGATTGATTGGGGCCTTTTTGGCCAACAATATGCTCACGTGTTGCTGCATGTAAAATATTTTCTACTGTCACAGAAGAATAATTCATTCCAGTGAACTCCAACATTTGTTATATACCATGTAAAACTTAAAATTTTTTCATATTTTTTTACACCAAACATGTTCATTGATGTAGTAAAGCACTGCTAATAAACCTTGCCCCAAACCATGTTATATGTGCACCATGAGTTTGAGGAATGACTTTTATTCCATTAGATAGAGAAGAGGAAATAAGCTCATGTACTTCCTTTTCTAACCTTTTTAGGAACATATTAAACATAAACAAAGTTAGATATATCATTCTGGTTTCTTAACTCAAAATGAGAACCAAAGGAATGATAAAGATTGAAAATATATATATTCTACATTAATGTTGTGATAAATATGCAGTTCTCCCCAACAAAACTACAATTTTGAACCAAGCATCATTACTGATCAATTCTGCGGCATGGCAATGGTCTATGCAAAACGCCACCGATGCAATCTCAAAGCACAACTATACCCAGATGCTATTTATAAACATTCAATATTTTCTTTTCATTGTTTTTCATTTTTGAATCATTTGCAAGATGTCAACAAAATCTCAAAAGTAGAACCAGTTAATCATAGATAGTTCATAAACATTCAATTTTTTCTCTACTTGTATTTAATCACATCCAAATACCATAAATAACATGAAAATTTTGAAGATCGAAATAATGATATTCTACATCTAAAAAGTTTTAACTTGTGAAAGACATATGTCTTGTGATATTTGTATAATGACCTATTTTTCCAAGCATTATTTGAGTATAAAGCAAATTATGAAGGCTCATTTTTGCAAGGGTAATAGACTACAATCTCCTTTTGTAATCCTTGTTTATACTTAATTCCCTAAAATCCAACATTTTCAATTAGATGCAATCCTGAAAGTCCATGTGCGACAAACTAAGAATATATTTACAGGCAAGAAATGAGTAAGGATTATGAGAAAATTTCAACCATTTCAAATTTATCTAAAGACTGGAGAATGTTTTATACTTTAGCATATCCCATTGAATGAGCATAAAAAGGCATTCATTTACTTATTAGAACAAAATCGAATTGAAGAAACTAGTTTAGAATTAGTAAAATAAATCTATCTTAAAATAGTGCTTCATTGGAAAAACAAAATTGAAATCACATGTAGAGAATTGCAAAGTTTACAATCAGGCGGTATGCAAAAATTAGCAGTTAATATAGCAGAGGAAGAACTCCAGGCAAATCACGAACAGTCCCAAATGATACATAAGCCTAAAAAACATGAACAACTATAATCTTAAATTCTCACAGAGCAATATCTTTCCTGAAAGAGGTAAAATTAGACAGCATACCATGCTTGAAGGATGAAATATAAGAGAATTATTAAATCCTTGATATGTTAATTCTCTGATTTGAAAGTTACATAACCTTTCTTTGGTAGGTACACTGCTTACCAAGTTTGTACTTATTGGAGGCATGTTAGAATGTGGTATGAGCAAATATAAGAGGATTATTAAATCCTTGATATGTAAATTCTCTGATTTGGAAGTTACATAACCTTTCTTTAGTAGGTACACTGCTTACTAAGTATGTACTTATTGGAGGCATATTACCATGTGGCATGAGCAATCCAAATTAATGCAACACCAACAATGTAAAAGATGCATGTACATTAGTCATTTAATCTAAAGTGAAGCAAGGATAAGGCAAGCATCTTCTCTTCCTTGTTTGAGGGCAATGGAAGCTTCCTTAGTACTGTTTCATCAATTTTCCTGTATTGTGTTTGAATGATTTTGTGCACTACAGAAAACTTCTCATCAACGTGGTGCTGAGGCTTATCATATACCAAAGGAACTGATAGACTAAGAATAACTCCTGCAGAAGACATCTAATAAAATAGGCATATATGAATAAAGTTAAAGGAATCATCCCTATTATAGAAATGAATAGGGTATCATAACTCATCAACATAGACCAAGAGTGGAAAAGTTGAAGAGACTGCCAATGTATGATATTAACCATATGCCAACTTTAAGAAAAAGTTTTGCAAGGCAAAAACATTCTAAAGTTTTATATTAAACCATAGGAAAAAGCATTAATAGAAAGGGAAAACTTTAAGAAAAAGTTTCAAATTTCTACCAATTGCAATATCGTGTGTAATTGACAATGCATCATTGATCCATATTTGAAACTCATCAGCAACCTTCCCAATAGTTTTCTCTAAATCCTTGTTCATACTTGTATTTTCTCTACTTGTTTTCAGTTTTGTATCTTTTGCAACTTGTAAAGTATGAATAAGGTTGTAGTCTTTTTATTAATAAAGTTCTAAAATTTATATAGTGGATCTGTAAAAGTTATTAATAAAGGAAATAGGAACAAAATAGAGATTAAACACACAAATATGATTACGCTCATTCTAGAATCAACAGAGTTTAAACTATTAATATTTTGCAAAAGCAAAAACATCAGTAAATCACTTTTTCTACTAAGTTCAACTAAACCATCTTATTTTTATGATATATTCTCATGAAATAAAGGCAAAAAACAACAAAGTTGAGTATATATACTGTCCAAATCACATAAGATCAATCTAGTCATAATACAAAAGTTAAAATGATTAAAAAGCAAACAAAGCGCAATATTTCAGTAAGACATTACTTTGGTATAATTTATAAATAAATAGAGAAGGAAACCAAAATAAAACAATTATCTTACGGGCACATGCCCAAGAAAAAAAGTCATCTATAAATAACAGGAGAACCCCTAACTTTGAAGAAATTTAATAGCATTCAAAATCTAATCATTCTTTATAAATTCAGATATTTAAACATTCTGTTTAGCAATTTCTGACCCAACATCTTTCTTATATCTTATTTGCTACAAATGAGTTTCTAAAATCAGAATCATTTAAATATTCTGTTTAGTAACTTCTGACCTACCATCTTTGTTCAACCTCATTTGCTACTAATTAGTTTCTAAAATTAAAATAATTTATTTATCTTAAATATATATTTTTATTCTTTTATATTTACTTTTCATGTGGTTCTAATTTCTCACATGTATCAACACCTAAAACTTCTATTTTTTTCCTATAAGAAACAACATGTATATATGAGTTACCTTCAAAGTAAAGAAAAGTATAAAATATAATGTCAAAAAAATTTCACAAAAAAGATATTGACTCCTCACCCGAAAGTTACATCTTTTATAATTCCATGAATTAACTACAGCATATTCTCAATCCCAGTGAATCAGTAATAAGAAACTTCTTAAGCTTTCTAATAAACAAAAAACATAATTAAGAAAGTTGTCAAATGCAAGGGAGCCGTTAAAACCAAACATATGTTCCTTCTTTCCCTATTTTTATGTGGAAATAAGAGTAGCAAAAGATTTTGGTACCATTCTATATCGTCGGATCAATAAAAATTATTATGAAAGGCAGAAGAAACAATCCTTAAGCAAAGAAAAAAAAAATCATCTATGGATTATGGATTAACTTAGCAATAAGAAAAAATAATGATTATGAATTAGGGTAAACTGCTATTGTCTCAAAAAGTCCAATACACATACATTGGAGGCAATTCTAATTGATCCATTATTCAAAAACCGAACATATATAGTAATAAAAGTTAACTTAGCAATACTTCCCAAACTATTAAAATGAACAATTATGGATTTATCTTAAACAATTGCCTAGATGTACTAATAAGCTTTTGTCTGGTTATATATGCAACAAATTATTGTAAGAAAATAAGTTAAATGTTTGAGAATACTTTACCTTTTTCAGAGTGTGAGCAAAGTTGCAAAGAGACAATTGATATATGTCAAAATAAGAGGTCAAAAGAAAATGTATAAGAGTTCAAAAAGCAACTAACACCATTCATATCTCCTGCACTGCCACGTTAGATTTTGACCAACCTTGTCCAAGAACAATGTCCACGCTTGTGCTCCAGGAAGCGGTTCCATTTTTATTACTTGACAATCATGCGTCGACATAAATGATCGGGATGTTAGAATCCATTACTTGCAGTAGGCTCAGGAATTCCAACTTCCTCTAGAGAAAAATTGTCCAACACATCATCTAAGATTAACACATACCTTCCCTTTTGAGCCAATATTTCAGGTAACATCCCTTCTCTTATTGTTTCATCTTCATCTTCTGAAATAACAGCACTAATTGCCTGAGCAATCTTATTCTGTAGTTCAATAACACCACATTTCCTTGTTACAGTGATCCATACAACAATATTAAACTGGTTTGTGTCTTTTAAGAGTTCATTGGTGACAAGCTTGACACTTGTTTTCCCAGCTCCTGGCATTCCATAAATTCAGATCTTTTGAACATCATTATTCATCAGGTATCCCAAAATTTCATTCCTTTTAAGTGCTGCTGTTTCACCAACTAAACTTGGTATCGGCAACACCTGTCCAATTAGCGAAAGATCGTCAACAACCAAACCATCAGAAAATCTACCCTTTACAAAATGTTCTTCAACTTCTTCTATCTTCTTACAAACATTGTTTCTAAGGAATCCACGGGAGTAAAAGCTGCTAGGTCCAAGTGCTTCTGATTCTGTATTCTGTATTTCAACATTTACCCTTTTAACTTTTTCCAACCACAGTTTAACTTCTTTCTTGGATGCAGCTTGGCTTTAATTCTTGATACCGTGTCTTCTTTCTGACCACTTAGTTGCTCTCTTTTTCTCTTCAGATTATTTACATTCTGATCAAGACCTGTAGGGAATTTCCAGTGCTTTCCTATAAAACCCCATATAGTATTTCCAGCTTCAAAAACTTTTCCTACTCGTTCAGTAAAGTCCCTGCATAACACCCAATATAAGGCATTAGAATGCTTTGTCGTAAGAACTAAACTTTAAAATAACTTAGTTATGTAAACAGATATTTTAAGAAGCCTACTATCGGAAAAAACAAAAAAAAGTTGGCCATTTGCTCAGAAATTTAGTATGATTTCTGATTATTACCTCAATCTTTTGTTACTTTTGGGAACAAATGCTTCATTTTCTTATTACTAGTTAAAAATAATTTTTCATAACGTAATTTAAAGAGTACTACTCATAAACCCCAGGTCAACGGTGCAAAAAATAGTAAAAATAACAAAAAGAACAGTGTATTCATAACCTAAATTTCCACATTTCCACAAGATATTTTTTAATGATATACCCATTTTAAGAATCTGATTTTGGATAGAGATATAAAGGTATGCCTGGTTTCTTGAGGAGAATTCTGGATACCTGCAAAAGAATTTGAAATTTACACATCAATCTTCATTTTTAAACTGATTGTAACAACAAATTCCCAAAGTAGAACCCTTTTCAATAATGTTCCAGCAACTTCAGTTTATTCTGCATATTTTTGTTGACTTAAGTTCCCCATCTAAACATTTAATTCTAAAAGATTACATGGGTTTTTCGGTTCATAATTAATTGTTTGATCAAAATATTCATGCATCATGAGCATGAAGAGACCAAAAAATTAAAGCATATGAATAATATAAAAACAAGTTAATAACCCAATCAAGAACAATCAATGTCAAGACTCAAGTCAACATGTAAGTAAAAGTAAGCAAGTAATAACACAGCAGAGCAGAAAAACATTTCATGAACAAGCATGAATGTTCTCACAATTCACAACAGTAAAAAAAAAAAAAAAACACGTAGAATTGGAAATTAAAATTACCTGATACTTGAAGAAAAGCCCGGCTAATAAAAAGAAGCAAATTCCCTTGCCAACAATAGAACCTAGATAGAAGAGGTATGTATATTGTGGAGCAAAGAAATGGGAAAGAAGAAACACCAAGGAGGAGGGAAGATGCCGTGGAAAGCTCAAATGAAAAGAAGAGATATGAACTTTTTTTATACCAGTCAACTTCATGGAAACTGTCACGAAGAAAAATTAAAGCAAATTGAAGTGTTGGGATGGATTCCACATTCCTTATTTGTTGATTTTTATGATATACTACAAATTTTGGCTCTTGCAGGTCAAAGGTCAACTATTTTGATTCTCTTTTATTTTCTCTATCATGTCCATGTTTTTGTTTTTTTCTTTTCTTTTCTTCCCTATGGTTAGGAGTGTTTCATGGGGGAAAGCCCAAGTTGCTTAAGGTCAGTACAAAGGCCAGCCAATCTGCAACTTCCAAATTAAGTTTCATACAGTAATTTCCTTATAGTAATTCCCTTAGGCTGTATATCATTTATATATAAAAGTATAAATTCTTAAATTATTAATAGTAATCGATCTAAATATTTGTATAAATTTTTAGATTAATAAATTTACCCTTAAATATATATAACTTTTATTAATATATTTATATTTAATTTAAATCAATTAAAATTAAAAATAAAGTTCATGTAAAATTAAACTATCTAAAATTTTAAAATTTTAATTCTAAAAGTGTTAAAAATAATTGCCTAAAATATCCTTGGTAAATGTTTTTATAAAATTTAGTTTAAATGATTTTTTTATTATTAAACTATTTTTTTATAATTAAACTAAAAAAATGTTAAAAGTGATTGATTAAAATGTTCTTAATAAAATTTAAATTTAAATTTTATTTATATTCAATTTAAGTTTTAAATTATTTCAAGTTTAAGTTGATTAATAAATGTTATTTTAGTTATACTTTTATAACACCAATAATAAATTTCAAAATAGAATGAAACCATAACACAATAAAAATTTAAGTGCAAAAATAATGAAGGCATTGATGATAATTTTAGATGAAAATCCTTATGCCTAGGTTTGGCAAAAAATTAAAAGATATTTCTTTTTTTTAAGGATTTTGAAATTCGAATTGTAATAATGTTAATATAAATCAATGAGTTTATAATTGGCAATTTGTTAATCAAGTTACTGCTATATAAGTTGAAAGAAATAATTCAAATATTTTATTTGAAAGAAATCATATCATAGTTCTAACCCATTTAGGAAAACATCATAATGTTAAACATTATTTTAATTATTGTAACCTTTTACAATATTCTTTACTCTTTTCAAATGAAGAAATTGATTGGCATTAAAATATCCAAAAAGCCATTTTGAATGATGGTAATAAAAAGGAAGGAATAATTAAACATAACCATCTTTTCATTTACTAAAATAAATTTTTATGGAGAATGCAAAATAATCTTTACTTTTTTCTGAATGGAGAAGTTGATTGATATGAAAATATCAAAAAAAAATTATTTTGAATTACGGTAATAAGAATGAAATAATAATTAAAAATATTTAATGTTTTCGTTTAGTAGAAATTTTTTTCATGGAGAATGTGAAAGTAATTATTATGAATTTAATATTTTTTCATGGAGAATGTGAAAGTAAATATGTTCTTATTACTTTTATCATATATATATAACAAAATTGTTATCCATAATTGTATATTTAAAATAGAAATATAAGGCAAGGTTTATTACTTGCACTAACAACAAAATACTTCAAAATTTTCAATCTTTTATATACAATTATACTTTGATAATAGGTATGAAAATATATACACTAATAATTCAATCAAATCATCAATAATATTTATCTTAATATATACTATTTTACCATGAACTAAAAAATTTAAGGAAAATCTTAGAAATATTGACTTAATATATATTGTATATTTATTTAATTTAGTTTTAATACTTACATTAGTATAAAAAGTTATAATTTTAACTTCTTGTTGCATGTTAAGTTATGGATAGTAAATTAAGAGCATTTACTCATTCTTTGTAAGTCATTTAAATTTGAACTTTTTTTTTCTTTCTTTACCTTACAAATTATATCATTTAACATACATTGTGATTACTTTTTTTTTATATATACACAAATCAATAATAACATAGTAGTAGATAATTAATAACTTAGAATTAATCAATGAAAACTTAAATGTAATTAGTATAACATAGTAGTAATCATCAATAACTTAGTACTAAATTAGTAATAACTTAATAGTAAATTAATAATAATTTAGTAATAAATAATTGATAATTTTTTAATAAATCAATAATAAAATAATAATATATGATAATAGCTTAATGATAAATCAATTATAATATAATTATAAATATATAATAATATAATACTAAATTAAGGATAACTTAACAAAAAATAAGAAATAACTTAATAGTTAATTATTGATAACTTAGTAGTAATTCAGTTATAACTTAATAGTAAATTAGTAATAATTTAATTGTAAATCAATTTTAATTTAATAGTAATTAATTGACATTTGTAAATCATAAATTATTTAGTACTAAATCAATGATATATTAATAGTAAATAATTGATAATTTAGTAGTTCATTATTGAAAACTTAAAAGTAAATCAATATAATTTAATAGTAAATCATCTATAATATAGTAGTTAATTAGTCATAATAACAAATCATGCAAATTTAATATAAATAAATAATAACTTAATCGTGAATCATAAACAATTTAGTGATAAATAAATGATAATTTTGTAATAAATAATAAAAAATTAAGTAATAAATCAATTATATGAATAGTAAATTATTGATAATTTAATAGTATTAATAATTTAGTAGTAAATCACCAATAACGTAAGAGTAAATCACTAATAACATAACTATAAATCAATGATAATTTAGTAGTAAATTAATTAATTATTGATAACATTTTAGTAAATCATTAGTAAATTAATAGTAAATCAATTATAATTTTATAATAAATTATCAATAACTTGATGGTAAATCACTAATAATTTAATAAAAATCATTCATAACTTAAAGATAGATCTTTCATGATTTAATGGTAAATCATTCATAAATTAGAAATAAATCACTAATAATTTAATAGTAAATTCTTGATAACTTGGTAGTTAATTGACAACTTAATTGTCAATCATTAATATCTTTTTTAGGCTTGAAATTATCAAGAACTGAAACTTGGTTAAACAAAAACAAAGTAAAAGCTTTCATTTTGGTGAATAGGATAAACTTATTATAAATCTATTCAATAAAAATAATTAGTGAAAAAATCTAAATTTAAATAGAATAATAATGTTATTATAAAAAATTTTATCTCATATATTATTAGTGGACTTTTTAAATTTTAAATTTTATAATTTTAAATGCATAATAACATATTAGTAAATCAATGATAGGTTTAAAAAAAGAGTAATAATTTAGTTGTTAATCATTGATAACTTAATAATAAATCAATGATAACTTAATAGTAAATTAGTGATAACTTATAGGAAATCAATCTTAGTTTAGTAATAATTAATTGATAAACTTAGTAGTAAATTATAAATAATTTAATAATAAATCAATGATAATTTAATAGTTAATTAT